AAGGATTTCAGTCTTTCATTCTCTAACATGATAGTTCTTTCTGAATCTTTATTTATTACAAAGACAAAGAAAGTTCCAAAGAAGTTCAACTTCTAACATTTTCCAGGCATTCCTACTAGGTTTAAAATGAAAAGAAAGTTATAATCAATTATTTTTTTATTTAATTTTTACCAACAGATACTGAAACACTCCTTGAACAGGTGAAAGTCATTGAAGTTCATAGAAATAACATCCTTGATGATGTGCTGAAATGTTATGAAGATGAAGATGTTATCAACTGTAAGCTTAATGTTAAATTTGCTGGAGAATCTGGTCTTGATTTTGGAGGCCTTACAACTGATCTCTTCACTACATTCTGGGATATCGCTTTCCAGAATTACTTTGAAGGAGACACTGTTAAAGTCCCATTTGTAACTCCTATCCAACAATATCAAAACAAGTCAGTATTTCAAAGATTGGGAAGAATCCTTTACCACGGTTGGCTCCTCACCAATGAGATTCCAGTTCGCTTCAATGAGGCATCCTTTGTCAGCTTAGTCCATGGAGAAGAAGCAGTAGATGACTATGTACTAGAAAGATCATTCCTACTATACCTGAGCCAATTTGAACGARATGTTTTGATTCAAGGGTTGTCAACAAGTAATCTTGCTCGTTTCCAAGAAGATGCCATTTATGGGATATATCAACAATACAGCATGAATTGTCTGCCAGCGACAACCCCTGAAGAGTTGAAGAAGCACATAATTGTGATGGCCAGAAATCACTTTGTCTACAAACCCATGAGTATTATTCATTGGATGAGGAGTGGCATTGGTGATAAAATCACATTAATGCAAAGCAGGTTGAGCAAAGAGGGAATACAAACACTGTACAATGTATTGCTTCCATCCAAAGAGAAAGTCTTAGCAAAGATTACATACTATGAAGACCTAAGACCTGAGGAAAGCTGTGTCTTGCAATRTCTCCGAAATTTCATAGGAAGTATGGATGATAATTTACTTGATCGATTCCTAAGATTTGTAACAGGCTCCCCAGCAGCTCCACAAAAGCCAATCCAGATCGATTTTAATGCAGCCATTGGAGAACAGAGGTTACCATCATCATCCACATGTTCAAGCACACTTCACATCTCAACAGCATACCTGACCTTTGCTGAGTTCAAAAGAGAGTTCACCTTGGTGCTCTCAGAAGACATCTCATTTGAGATGGGTGTTCTTTAAGCTGTTTAATCATAATTATGATTGTGGTCAGGCAGTTGCCACATGTACACAAAAGTGTATATTATAAGAACAATGAACTGCAACTTTTATGGTAGTTAGATGATGATGCTGGAGCAAAAATATTAAGTAAAGGGATATAGACCAATGAATGTAACTCCTACTTAAAATTTTATAATACTTTACACATGCTTTTTCTCTGATTGTTATAGCCTTGCTATGCATAGAGACATTCTAGAAGTTTAGATTATGTGTTGAACTAAAAAAATATATTTAGTTAGGTTGGAGTCATGTTAAAACAGTTGCCGTCTAAAAGGCAGCAATATCTACACATGCTATTGTCCGATGATTCCTATATCATAACTGCATGTGCAAAYTCACATGAAAGTTAAGAATAACAACAAAGCAACAGGATGAGCATTCACAATTGAGTGCATATACCGTATGTGTTAATTTGAAAGAAAAGTTCTGATGAGAAACAAGTTTACATGTAGTTCAGATTTCAATGTCTAAGGASATTCCTATGGTAAATGTGCTGACATCATGATAATATGAAGAGCAAACAGCAAAGTGTAATATAAGATACAGCTGCCTTTTGTGTGATTATATTTATTGTGTTATTGTTATAATAATTGTTGAGTTARCTTGTACACTAATTTACTGCTGCATTACTTTGCTAGTTCATGCTGCAGTTACTTCTTTTTCTGAACAGGATTTGTTCATGCATTTCTTTACTTATAMGTTGTTGAATAAAGAGCATGCAAGAAGATGCATTGTTTATTATAATATTATGGTCTACACTGTTTTCAAATCATTCGAAAAATTATCATAAAAGGGGTTAGAAACGTGTAACACGATTTGATAATCTGAAATATTCCAAATTACCATTGCTATTGCACAGATTAACTATTTTGCTTATCTTACAGTTAGCAAATTCTTTGTAAAAATAGACTGATCTACTATATCTATTAAAATGTATATTTTTGTTATTCCATTACTTGCAAASAGGTTTTAAATTTGTAAATTATCCAAAACAGGAAAAAAGGCATATCCTATTCAGTCAAAAGGTATTTTTTGGAACTGGTRTTTAAGCCAAAATTGTTGTGATCACCCAGAAGCCATATGTTATACTACTGATGTCAAGGTCAAAATGATRTTGTTTGCCAAGGAGATGCAAATTCCCCCTATATGATTTTAGAGAAATTAAACAGATCCATCTGAAATGTCCAGACAATAAAATAAGTTATAAAATGAATATGAATAATTTCAAATCAAAGATAAAAAAGGAGAAGATCATTGTCATACCTCTTTTGCAAAATAATGTCAAGGAATCAATCAATATCAGATCAACTATTCTTCATTGAAAACAGATTTTACTACCCACCAAACATGGAAGAATATAGAAAAAAAATAGAACTCTTTCTAATTTAAAAATTAGCAGTTTATGCTAATTTAATGTCATAAAATGATGCACGTGATCCAAAAGTGMAAAAACTATAAACTAAATTTGGTTGATGTAATCAAGAAGAGTAACATAATGATATTTTGCTTCAGTTGCATTTGTAGGCTTTTGAAGATTTTGTTCTTGTTCTATGATCTTTGCTAGCTCGGTAAAATTCTCATCAGCATCATCAGTGTTATCATGGGAAATAAAAGCTTCTGCAGCTGTAATATCAATGGGTGAAACRGGTACTAAATAATCTTCTGTACTGTTTAATTCTGGGACAGAATAAAGAACATCGGGTCTTCCAGGAGGAGATTCTCTGTTAGAAGAGGGTCTTATCCTGTGTGTGTTCCAAAGTTTCATTACATTATAGAGTTCCTCTCTCAATATGGGGATAAAGCAGTATATCATGCATTGTACATGCATAAAATTGGAATCATCATACAGACCCTCCTCTCTGATACCTCTAAGAAACTCTATCCACCAGTCACTTTGGCTCTGACGAAGCTGYGACCACCATGCTTCTATACGCTGGTTCGATACTGAAGCCCCATACATAAAGCTTTTCTCACCATTAAAGGAGTCTGTGCAGTTAGCTCTAAAAAAACGCTGAATCCCACATATGGTTACATTTTCAGTACCTGCATCAGTCCTTGCAATCCTTGGTACACCTCCCACTTGCTTGACATAATCCAAAAAATAACGAGCAGTAACACTGGGATCATTATTGGTTGTACCTACTTCTAGCCATAGTAGCCTTCGGCTATACCCATCTATTGCACCATGAATGGCCATACCATAGGGCTTCAGCTTGTCATAGCCATCCATGTGCCATATGAAGTTGGGTCCTCTACCACGGTACTCTCTGCGTCTCAACCGCCTTCGTGATCGGTTCTCCACACCAACAGGATCAAGAATTTTTAGACTCAAACGAACAGTTTCTCTATCAACGACAAGACCATGATTCACACGCAAGCGTTGATGCATTTGTCTATATCCAATGCAGTTGCCACTTCCATTTAACTCCTGACAAATTGTGTCAATGACTTTTTGAAGGTTATCTGGTTGTTTTCTCCTTCTAAGGCCTTTATTGAAGAGAATTCTTTTCAATTGTCTTAAACTCAACGATATTTTATGTACAAGTGAAAGAATCATAATGATTTCCAAATAGCTCAAACCTTGTCTGAAATATTCCTCTATCAACTCTCCTTGTGACAAATCCCTTGTAAACAGTGGAGTATAATGATATGGCATTGTTTATTCGTAGTGCTTGACCCTTGTGCAGTTATTTCAATATTCTGGATCHGCCACTGGATGCCAGTCTTCTCCAAGGTCAAAAGAAGTTTCCTTGAAAAAAATAAAATTTGATTTTTAAAGACATTTCTGATCTATAAAAATAAAACACTTTCTAGACAAGTAGTAAGAAACAACAATCAAGACAACCTGTACTACAATTAATGGTAGCTTATCATTTTCTTAAGGAGTAGCCTGCAAAGCGGCTCTGGGGGAGGGGGTAAGAGAGAAAACGAAAACAGAAGGGGAGGGGGGTTGGTAGTGGAGGGTAGAAAAAGGTAACATAATTGTCATTAATCACATATGTGCATATACACCTATTAAAAAGCAAAAAAAAACAGCAAACATTGATTGTCTTTAAGAAACACTGCATAATAAAAGAGACTAAAGTTATATCTGATTGACATAAAAATGATCAACTTTGTTGGGTACACTTTGGAAACTAAATGTAAACAGTCTTATAATGTATACATCATTCATCTTTTCCCATCAACATGACAATATTTTTTGGAAATAGTTATAYTTTATAAAGTGTACATGACAAATTTCAAAGTCAAGCCTGAAGCCGTCTAAGAAACAAAGTTTTAACATATACATAGTAACTAAATTCAAAAAWGTTGATTTATGGAATATATAGCCTAAAGAACTAGTAGAGTACATAAGAACCTACATCTTATTTTTACTTCATTTATTTCTATTGCATTATGACGTCATAACCAATTTGTTCAAAGCTTATTTAGCATTCAGTCAGCATATCAGCATTCATTACAAAAATATAATGCCATTGTTAGTAATATGACTGCAGTCCAAAATAAGAAACACTTTATATTTCTTTGCTAAACAGGTTTTAATGTAGTTTCATGGCAACTTCATGTCATTAAATCATGTTTGTACTGAATTTTAGTATAGCTGTGGCTATAGAGATTGAGCAATGCTAATTTAGTTCATGCAGCGATCAATATAAGTTATAACCATATCAAACCCAAT